GCTCAGTCGAAAAGGTCCTAGTGTGAGTATGCTTTGACTCATTCTCGTGATTGAAGACAATGCATGCTGAGCGTTAGCACTTTGTTGTGCATCTACAATGTCATGTTTTTTTTTTGTTTTTTGTTTTGTTTTTGGTTGTGTGTGTGTGTGTGCGTGTGTGTGCGTGTGTGTTTCCTAATTCGACCATTTATCGATATTTCATGGGTGTACTTCCTTGCACAGGGGCCATGCTAATCTTCTCTGTATCGTTCCAATTTAAGGGATGTCCCGAAGGACGTTGTATGTTTATCTGCTTGCATTTGCTTGAAAAAAAAAAAGAAAAATCGCCTTTCTTTCCACTAAACATCTCATACTCATAGGTGAAGGCATCAGGGTCATCGGATTGGATTTGATTTGATTTTTTTTTTTTTTTGAAGTTTACATCTCGTACTCATATCTGATTGGATTTGATCTCTTTTTTTTTTTTTTTTTTTTCGCTGTATCGTTCCACTGTATAACACTCGAAATGTGGGCTGTTTATGATCCAGATACATCCTAACTGAACCGAAACCACACTAACAGCCAGATACATTTGGAGTGTTGTGTAGTGCAGCGAGGCCTCAACCGGGACCAGATTAAGGGCCAGATACATTTGGAGTGTTGTGTAGTGCAGCGAGGCCGCATGCTTTAAATTATCTTGGGGGTTGGGATGAAAAAGGGAGGCTCCTCGTTCCTGTAGGCTCTCCTATAGCCGCCGGAAGGAAGGTCAGCCCACGATGTTTTTCCCCGGCCAAGGACAATGCCGACTGTCCCGTGTTGTAATGGAGCTGCGTTAGGCTCTCTCTCTTTTTTTTTTTTTTTTTTTTTAATTCAACTTTCGTGTATTTTTCGATCTGGTCACACCGTGGCCGTGGAGTTATCAGATCGGATGGCAGGTAGCCCTGCATACTTGAAAGCAGAAGTAAACCTCGACAAGTGGGCCATGGCCCCGGGTCTGTATTTCACCAGTCCATGGGTGTACCAATTGATCTAGGCCCATTGGTACGTGCTGCCAATTTTGTTCATGTCAACCCGTTTACATTTTAATTAGATATCGGTGCCTACGGTGGGGTATTTATTGGGCAGTCTCTTTTTTTTTCCCTCTCTTATGCTTTAAATTTCCCCCCCCCTCCCCCCTCAAAATTCAGTTTCAATTATGCAAAACATTCAGAGGCTGGGGTCCTCTACATTACTTCCCGGTTCAAATCAGATATCTGGAAGCATCATCCAGTTATGCTTTAAATTTCTCGTCCTTTTGGCTAAGAAGACAAAAACAATTAGACCACTGGATCTCGCGATCGGAATTGAGCAGAGTCTGCTGATGTTCGTAAGGGGGGCGGGGGGGGGGGACCACCACCTGAGGGGAGGCACAGGGATTGGTCCTGTTAGCATGGTCCCTGATGCTACCGGCTGTCCCCTGGCCGGTATCGCCCACCTGCAGGTCGGGAGCATCCCCCGTATGTTCTCTAGTGAACACGGTTCTGGCTGCTACGGGGTTCCCCGTATGCCTACAATTAGGAGTAGGAGTAGTGGTAGGTAGGTAGTGTGAGGTGAAATTGAGAGAAGAATGTAGCTTACTTTTTTGGGAAAAAAAATAAAAATAAAAAAAATCATATATGGGGACCTATGGAAGGATATTTGTTGGGGTAGTCTTCTAACGTTCTCCGCCTTTTGGCTAAAAATAGATGATTCAAAAGTGTAGTGTTCTGCTGATCCATCGGGGCATGAAATCAAATCGAAATTGGTAGAGAGGTGTTGTAGGGATTTCAGAAAGTTATGAATTTTTAGGACTAGTTTTAAGGTAGGTAGGTGTGACCCTGTTCTCAAAAAAGATAGGATCAATTCAGTTGCGTCTGCAGCTCATATGGCGTACTATTCTTTCTTTCGCCTTTTACTAAAGAAATCAATTCAGTTGCGTCTGCAGCTCATATGGCGTACTATTCTTTCTTTCGCCTTTTACTAAAGAAAGAATACCGTGGACTGAGCACACTGAGGAGCAGCTTACAACAGCTTTTTTTTTTTTTTTTTTTTTTATTACAATTGACAACAACTTTTTGACGGCCCTTCGCTCCGTCGAAGGGCAAGGGGAAAAAAGAAAAAAGAAAAAAAAGATAGGAGTTGAGGTACGTCACCGAAGAGAGCCTCAGGTAGAAACTACTAGAAAGCTATGCTTGCAGGGGTCCCCTGTATAGCCTTGAAGTTAGTAAGTAGTGGTAGGTAGGTATTGAAAGAAAGATATGTTACATGACATGGCAGAACGCCAGTTAAAAATATGTGAGGTGAAAGAAAAATATATGGCCGTCCCCCGATGAGGAGAAGGCAGCTTTTAAAAAAAAAAAAAAAAAAAAAAAAAAAAAAGAAGGCAGCGTTTTGAAAGAAAAAAACAGACGTGTCTTTCGGGACATCCGTTAAAATTGGAACGATGCAGAGAAGATTAGCATGGCCCCTGCGCAAGGATGACACGCATAAATCGAGAAACGGCCCAAAAAAAAAAAAAAAAAAAAAAAAAAAAAAAAA